GTCCAGGCCTCATTTCTGCCCGCCCCTTGCCCTCGTGTGAGCCCGCAAGCTCCCCTCCCCCTCGCTCCCCACCCTCCAACCGAGAAAGCAGCAGGAAACCCGGGCCCGCCAGAGTGCAGGCACCTCCTGTTTTGTTGATGGGCTCCAACTCGGACTAAATGAGCGGATGTGCCTGCGAGATTGGTCTCAAAATAGAAGCTGTCTTAGTATTTTAGGATACTGCCGAAATCCTTATTTCTTCCGGAGAAAAACTCTATAATGACTCCTAGCACTTCCCCTTTTCATATTTGTGCAACTTTATCTCCACCGACAAGTTGCTCGGGTGACGCAAATCCGCCCCTGTGTATTGCAACGACCAAAATAAATGCGCGGAAATCGATCCCCTTCGAGCAAGGAAAATATAAATATGCAGCTGCGACTTTCCCCTTTCATCTTGGCTTTGCGAGCGGTTCGGAACGAGCTGGTGGAAGAGCAATTGCGCGGGGCCGGCGGCGGGTGGGCAGGCTCTGGGGGCAGAGGCGAGGGTTTCCCGGGCCTGGGCGCCACCGCCGCCAGCAGGAGTGAAGAGGACCTGAATGAACTGAATGAACTTGAGCTTAAACGTGGCTACGATGTCCTTAAGGGAAGCTCATTTGTAAAGACGATTTCGTCTGAGCCGGCATAGCTGCACCAGCAAAGCACAATCCACAATAAGGGCGATGGAGGGAGTTCTTTATACTGAAAGGTTCATTATTAAACAGCTTTTGCAGGGGTTGCTGGGCAATTCTGGTGACTGTCTTTAATGCATATGATTCTCCCTTCTATATTCCTGGGTAGACACAGCCCAAGTATTGCCCCACCCTGGGGACGCCTGGTGCCATGAAAGGTCGGTTTTATAATGTAACAATATGATCTACGAGGATTTAGGGTCGGAAGGAGGGGCCTACATCAGAGGTGTATGCATTGCTTGAAGCGAGAGATGGATCCCATCGCCCTTTGGCTGTCTTCAGAGCCTCCATACTTAAATCAGTGCAAATTCTTGCCCTAAATCTGGGGACCCAGATAACACACCGGTTGAGCATAAAAGCTCAAGGAGAGTGAGTGCTAAGCCTTGCTGATCACAGTCACGGGACCCTGCAAGGGCTCGGCTGTCCGGATCTGCTCTCTGCTTTTCTCTTTTCTTATAGATTCTGGGCAAAATAACGTAAGAGGGCGTTGCTCTATAGAACGAGACCACCTCCCCCCCTTTTCATTTTAAATATTCTTTCAAATATGGTACTTTCTGGTTTCCAAGAAAGAGATGGAAACAATTTTATCTCCACAGTGAGGAGGAGAGAGAGACACAGCAAACGCAGCCGTGTGAGGATATGAGAGATGTTCGGCCATGTTGGCATCCGCATATATTCTGCTGGTCACTCCTCCGCCAGCTGAATGAATGCTGGGCCTAGTGCTTGGGTATTCTGGTAGATGTGGGACTACTATGCCTTGTGGGTGTCAGATATTGTAGTTTAGGACTCTAGAGACTCCCCCCCCTTCTTCCCCCATCCCCACACACACCCTTTGGATTACACTAAGTAGGCTACCACTTCCTTTTCCTGGAGACGTTAGTATTCCAGAACTATTAGTATATAGAGTTCCTGAGTTTGGGGAAGATAGACTTTGATATGGGTTAAGAAAGGCAAACAACAATATGACAAGACCACAAGGTCCAAAGTCACTTGATTTAGTCCTTTTCCTTTTTCTGATCTCCCAGGTGTGGCAGACTCACAGGTGGGGTCTCTTTCTGTGGCCACAGCCCTGCCCTTGACCCCTCAGGCACCAGGTCCCAGCATCCCCTCCATCCCATGAGGAGCCCACCAAGGACCAAAAGTCGGTTCTCTGCTGACACCTGCTGGGCCATCTTGGCATTGCTGTCTGGCAGCTGGCAGCCTTGTGATGCAAGCAGGCTCTTTCTTAGGAGAAAAGGCGGGTTTGTATGATGTGTTTAAAATTGCGGGAGGGCGTGAGGGGAGCTGTCACCCTTCAGTAGTAACAACTAAGGTTTGACAGATCTCCAGGCTCGGTTACCCGTTTACGTGTGCTATCGCCAGCAGAACAGCCTAGGGACCCAGAGGCGATTTGAGTTTATCATCGTGATTTCAGTTTAGGAAGTTGATCCTCAGAGGTTAAGTGGTCTGCCCAAGGCTGCCTCGTTAGGAAATGGTGTTCCGAGGAGAGCACCACCAGCCAAAATTCCACCCCTCGGCCAATCTCTTTAGAGCAGGGGTTCTCAACCTTCCTAATGCTGCGACCCTTTAACACAGTTCCTCATGTTGTGGTGACCCCCAACCATAAAATTACTTTCGTTGCTACTTCATCACTGTAATTTGGCTACTGTTATGAATCGTAATGTAAATATCTGATATGCAGGATGTATTTTCATTGTTGCAAGTTGAACATCATGAAAGCATAGTGATGAATCACAAAACAATATGTAATTATAGATGTGTTTTCCGATGGTCTTAGGCGACCCCTGTGAAAGGGTCGTTCGACCCCCAAAGGGCTTGCGACCCACAGGTTGGCGACCCACAGGTTGAGAACTGCTGCCTTAGGAGAAACGGTTTATTCGGAGGGAAATCTCTCTGCCCTCCGTCAGGATGTATGTTGGTTCCAGGCAAAGGGGCCGGAG